AGTGAGGTCTGCAAGGGGTAGGAACTCCTAAATTTCCCTGGTGACATGGCTCAAAATAAGGCTCTGAGATTAGGTTACTAAAATAATGTAGAGGGCTGGAGATGTAGCTCAGGGATAGAGTACTTACCTAAAATGTGCAAGGCCCTGCATTCAAACCCCGGCACTGAAGTGGCTTTTGTGTGCATTCCTTCCTCTCCTTCTCTGACCCTCTCTCAGATCTCTTGCCCTGGAGAAAGCTGGTTGCCATGTTGGGATCAGCTTTATACCAAGACCTTCACAATGATAAAGTGAGCCTCAGCCAAGCAGCCAGCTAGAAACCAGCTGCCGCCCACAGGAATAAGTGTGGAACTGGGTCCTCCAGCTCCCCTGGGGCTTGGATATGACCATACCCTGCCAGCAGTTTGCCTGAAACATCATGGGATGCCCAAGCCCAAACCACACGTCTTAAATCCCTGACCCTCAAAAACTATGCAAGATAATTTTCATTGTTTTAAACTGCTGCATTTTGAAGTAGCCTGTTTTGCAGAAATAGACAATTAGTACAGCTGGGTGGGATGGTTTCCTACTTTTTGAAGTCAGTTAATGAATGGGGAATGACATTTTTTTGGGGGGGGTGGGGATAGGGTCTCAAGTAGTCCAGGCTGGCCTTGAACTTGCTAAGTTGCCCAGGCTGGCCTCAAACTCTTCATCTTCCTGTGTCAGCTTCCCATGTAATGGGATTACAGAACTGATCCATTATGACTAGTTTGGGAAAGAACTTTTCTTTTTTTGTCTTTTTGAAACAGTCTTGCTCTGCAGTTCAGGCTGGCCTTGAGTTCACTTTGTAGCCCAGGCTGGTCTCGAACTCAGAACGATCCTCCTGCCTCAGCCTCCTGAGTGCTGGGATTATAGGCATGCACCACCACGCCCAGCTGGAAAGAACTTTTCAACAAAAGAGTAAGGGGAAATAGTCACAGAGAATATCAATAGATAAGATTGCATAAACATGAAAACTGAGCCCCCAAAATCTAATTAAATGAAAGCTCATATAACTGAGTATTTATTGAGTATTTATAATGTGCTAGATAGCACACTAAATCATGAAATACAGCACAAGTCATGTTTGCAACAAAGATAGCAAGTTGATTAGGAAAGTAGCAAGGATTTTATAGATAAAAGGCAAAGGATGTAGATAATTCCCCAAAGAGGGAATAGTCTAAAAAAACCATGAAAAACTCTATCAAATAATGATTAACCACAAAAATTAAAATCATAATCAGATAATTTCAAAGGTCAAATTAACAGGGATTATGAATGATGTGACCCAATGTTACTGGAAAAGCTTTTCCCGGAAGACAGTTTGACAGTATACTTTAAGAATCTTAAAAATATTTCTGTTCTTTGATCTGTAATTCTACTATGAGGAATTTCAATAAGTATTTATATAAAAGATACTGTCACAACAATATTTCTAAAATTAGAGAAATGCTGAGTAAGTATTGGTATGGCCACTTGATTAGAAATTATGCAAAAATTAAAGGTTATATTAAAGGATCTTAAACTCACAGGATATGAATTCCAAGTTCTAAAATGGCATAGAGTGAAAAGTAGGTCTCCCTCCCTCCCATGTCACTAGGCCCCCAGAGGAACCATTGAAAACGTGTGTCTATTTTTTTGGCCTCCCAGTTAAGTGGCAGTTTGTTCTGCATCTTTTTTTTTTTTTTTTTTCACTTAGTGACATATCTGGCCCGTGTTCCATACTAATATGCAAAGAGCTTCCTCAATTTTTAAATCATTGTATAGATATATCACAGTATATTGGGCTTGTTCCCTGTAAAAGGACATTTGCTTCAAATCTTTTACCAGAGTAGCCATGTCACTATGAGAAACTATATACACCTTTCACTGTGTACATGTGAGACTATCTCTGAAGAGTAGAGTCTTAAGTTACTTTCCTCATTGCTGAGACAAAATACCCAACACCCAAAGGTAAAGGAGGAAAGGTTTATTTGGCTCACACTTTGTAGAGGTTTCAGTCCACAGTCAGCTGGCTCCAAGGCAGATGGCATGGCACAGGGGCATGGCAGAGGAGAAACAGTCTTGGCAAAGAGGGCAGGCAAAAGTTAGCAAGCAGCAAGCTACAAGCAGCGAGTGACAAGCGACCACAGCAGACCTCTTTCTGCCCATTATGTTCTATCCAGGGGACATGCCCTTAAGGTGGGTAGCACTCACACCCAGGGAGGACCTTCCCGTTAGCCACTCCCAGAACTATGCCAGATCAATCAGTGGACTAATTTAACAATCACACATCCTTGATCCCAGCATCACACAATTAATTGCGGTGTCACATACTCTAGATCCAGCTACCTCTGAAAAACCCCATCTATGGCTGCATGAGGCTTTAGGGGGACATCTAGACACAAGCCGTAACAGGTATGTTATTTGATATGGAATATATATGGGTGTATTTTACATTTGGCTGACATGGCTGAATTTCTCTTCACAGAGATTTTCAATTTTACATGCAAGACAGTCTATTTGTTCATGCAATGGCCAGCACTGTGCTATTAAGCTATCTGTTAGGGAGCCAGGCATGGTGGCACACTCCTGTAATCCCAGCATTCAGGCGGGTGAACCAAGAGGATTGTTATGAGTGCAGGGCCAGCTTGTACTACATAGCAAGACTATCTCAAAAACAAACTAGCAGGGGCTGGGGATTTAGCTCAGCGGCAAAGCGCCTGCCTGGCAAGCGCAAGGTCGTGAGTTCTGTTCCCGGTACCGGAGAAAAAACCAAAAAAAAAAAAAAAAAACCAGCAAACCCCATAACACCGTTGTTTGTTTATTTATTTGAGACAGAGTCACTTTGCAGTTCAGCTGGTCTTGAACTTGCTTATGTAGCCCGGGCTGGCTTCAAATTCACAGTGATCCCCCTGCCTCAGTCTCCTGAGTGCTAAGATTATAGTCATGCTATGCCACCAGGCCCAGTGATAATACCTTTTTTTGGTACCGGGAATTGAACTCAGGACCTTGTGCTTGCCACGCAGGCGCTTGTGCTGTTGAGCTATATCCCCAGTCCGATAATACCTTTTTGTTAGGAAAAATATTTAATAACTTTTGAAAATAGCTTTAAAATATTGTTGTGTCAAAAAGCAAAACTCCAAAATTTATATAGAGTAAGAAGTTAGTCATGCACTATGCCAAAATATTTACAATGGTTATCTTACAAGTACTGGGCAGTTAATTTCATTATTGCATATTTTCTGTGGTGGTATTATTTAACCTTGTGGTAAAATATCCTAAATTGGTTATAGATCCTTAGATACACATATGTTTGTCTTGTCTTATTAAGCCTATACCTGCCCCAGAGATGAGCTTAATAAATAAATGAGGAATATTTTCAGGCAGCAGCCACAGCCACTTACAATTTAAAATTTTACCACTTGGTGGTGGAAGAGAGTTAAAATTCAGTAATCTTTGTGCTCTGAGGAAACTCAGGCACAGTGTACCGCGAGAAAGCCTTTAAAAATAATACACATGAATGAAAAATTAGGACATAGACAATAAGATTCATACCTAAAATATTTGCCCCAAATTCTTAAAACTTCCAGTAAAAATCTTGGTAATGTCTTTGGGACTTCAGCTTATTTTCCCCAAAGTTTTTTTGCTTTTTTTTTTTTGTTGTTGTTGTTGTTTTTGTTTTCAGTAGTGGAGATTGAATCCAGGGGTCTTTACACTGAGATACATCCCCAGCCTTTTTTTTTTTTTTTTTGTCTTTTTGGGTCTTGCTATGCAGGTCAGGCTGGCCTTGAGCTCACTTTATAGCCCAGGCTTTTCTCGAACTTGCAGTGATTCTCCTTCCTCAGCCTCTCAAGGGCTGGGCCCTTTTTATTTCCCATGCTAGGCTGCAACTTGCAATCCTCTTGCCTCAGCCTCTCAGAGTGCTGGGATTTCAGATGTGTGCCATTACACCTACCTTTTAAAACTTTTTTCTTCTGATGCTGGAACTCAAACTCGGGGCGTTGTATATGCTCCTCCACTGAGCTACATCTCCCAGCTGCCAGTGCTTGTTTATTTATTATCTGTAGTTTAGCCTATCCTTCTGGAGCCCACCCTGGCCTCTGCTGTCCCTTGCTGTTGTGCTTCCAGAATTCTCTGCCTTGCGCTCTAACCTCCCTGCTTTTAAAGCGTGTACACCAAGTGAACAGCTGTGTCTCTGGAGAGACTGAGGGCTGGCGGCCACCTCTCCATTTTTGTAGTTGTGGGTGACTGTCTTAATGGAGTTTCACCACATCAGGACTTGGGGTAGTGTTATAGGGAAGAGGTCCTTCTGGTCACCCCCGCAGTTGCCAGTTCTCTGTGCCTAGCTCTAGCTAGAACCTACTCAACCGGAAGTGCTTGCCTTCCAAGCCTGGGTGTTTGGTCTGGGTATGAGCCAGTCTTGGTACCCTTGACTTCATCCTTCACTCCTTTAGCACCTGCTTGGTGCCCAGGGTGGATCTGCCCCAGGAATAATGGCTGTCTGGCTTCTGGCCCTGCCAAGAAGGGCAGACCTCTAACCTTGGCCTCCTTGTCCTTAAAATCAACTGTGTCTTGACCAAGTCATTCAGCCTGTCTGGGCATGAAGCATGGGGCAGTACTTTGATCTCAAACTCCTTCTTACTGCAAGGTGGAGATGGATCTGACTTGCAGTGGAGTTATAGTTATGAGGGTGGTAGAGTAGAGGCCTTGGGCTCCTGTTGCTGGGGTGGGACTGCTGCGGGGTTTTGGGTCCTGAGGACCAGAAGCTGACCTCGGAGAAGCTGAGCTCCTGGAGAGCCTGTAAGCACCCCACCAAAGGTCCTAGAGTCCAGGGGACATAGCAGCGATGACTTTGCCGTGACATTTTAAACTAAAACACGTGGCAGGGCCTGATCTGCCCACGGCGCCTCTGGGTGTCTGTCTACACCTCAAGGGTTCCCTGGCCTTGTCAGGGTCCTCACGACCACCGTCTGATTAGCTTCGCGCCAGGGCTCTTTCCACTACCCATGGACCTGGATTTTTGCGCAGGAATTCATTCGGCCGAGGGAGCCACGTGGAAAGTAACCCGAGCAGAGCTGAGGAAGGAGACAGGACCGGTTTTTCCAATCCTCAAAGGCTCCCGGGAGGAGGGGAATTTCGGGTTAAAGTACTGGAGATTGCCGGTCGCCGAGGCGCTTTGGGCCCCGGGGCCCCCCAGCCCTGCCCCGCGATCCCTCCTCCTAGGGCGGGCGCGTGGGGAAGCGCAGAGCGCCGGCTCCGCGGGCGGAATCGGGCGTGGTTTAGGACCCGGGCGCCCGCCCGGCGCGAGCGTGGAGCTCCGAAGTCGACCGAGACAGTCCGCGTCCAGCGCGTCCCGCTGCGCCCCGACCCTCCGCGCCCCACCTGCGCCGGCATGACGGGCTCGCTGTTCAAGGGCAACTTCTGGGTGAGTCTGCGGGGCGGCGCCGCCTCGGCCGGGGCCGGCGTGCCGAGGGTGCCCCGGTGCGGCC